AAGTAACATGTTAAAGACCTTCTCATTACCAACTCCAACATTTTTTTTTTTCTGGTCAAATTAGTTTGAATCTTCAGTGGGTAACTAACATCTCTGATCACTCTTTGCCTTTTGTAACTTCATTTGCTGCTCCTGGGACCCCTCTTTCTACATGTCTGACTGGAATCTTAGCCTTCTGAAGGCCATTCTTTCCTTACTGCTCTTGAGTGAATTTAATAAGAAAAGATGGGGCTGAGTTTCAGGGAAAATAAGAAACTCTCCCATGACATCTATTTCTTAACTTTTTAGGGAAGGCCTAAGAACTTTTTACTTGGTTTGTACTCCTTCTCTTTTGGTGTAGATTACATACCCACCCCTAGGCTAGGGAATTCAGGGTAGAGCCGATGGACATATGGTTGTATTGTGTGTGTAGCATCCTTTACTGTCAACCTGATAGTTTCCATAGATCCTCTTGGTTGACTATTGATCATGCTTGGCTAAAATTCTGGAAGGTTTGTACACAGAGGAACTGTAGTAACTAGACAAATTTTTAAAAATGAGATATGGAAGCTGAGAAGATGGTTCAGTGCATAAAGTATTTGCTGTATAAGCATGAAGACAAGAACAAGAGTTTGAATCTCTAGGACCCATATAACTGTTAAATAGCCATGGAGGCCTGCCTGTGATTCCATGGCAGGAAAAATGACTCTATCACCGACCCTATCACTCTATCAGTATTATTGAGAGGATGTTAATTTAGCTTCCATAGCTGGGTGGTGAAACTGAAATAGCATGACTACCCAAAATCTGCAATCCCAGCTGAGTATTCCTCTTCAGTGAATAATAGCTATATTAGTAAATATTTAACATTTTTTTTGTTTAAAAAAATAAATTTTTTTTGTTGACCCAGTCTCTTCAGTTACAAAATCTTAACTGTTTTCTCACTTTATGCACTTATTTGGCCATACTTACTCTGTCCTTGGTAATCAAGTCAACAAGAAACTTTCCACCCATTCTCAACAGCCCAACTGCTGATGGGGTCCAGACTTCCAATAGCTAAATGAGGAAAGCAGGAAACTCAAGGAGACAAGAAATATGAACCTGAAGTGCTGAGGGAGGATTCTGACCCTGGCAACTGCACACAGCAAACAGGCTCCAACGGAAAGTACTCAGACAGCAACCTGGGGGGGTCATGTGAACTGCACTCTCCTGGATCTTTTCTTTGCAAAGATGAAAAGTGTTACGTTTCAAATTGGGACAAATGGCCGAGGTGCTGTCTCTTCCCCTTTCCCCTCCCTCCTCTCCTCAAATGGCTCAAAATCATGTCCATTCTGCACTCTGCCTCTGGCTATGCTCTCCACATACCTACAATACACTCTCTCCTCCACCTTACCTAGGAAAAGTCACGTCCTTTCCTTTTGTATTTCTTTTTCCACCCAATCAAAGTCTGTTTTGGTAAAAGTTTGGGGCCAAGCCGAAGGGTTTTGTGACATGGGAATATAATAATACCCTGCAGCTGTGTTGAATAACTTCCTGTCACCCTTTACCAAAAAGATGAAACTTCCCACAAGAGTCAAAACACACTCTGAGGATTGAGACAGTGGTGTCATCCTCATTTGTTGTTTTTCTCAGTCACCTCTCTGGTAGTGAGGTCAAGTTGATGTAGATTGCTGTGTCCTTTTCTTTCTTTCTTTCTTTCTTTCTTTCTTTCTTTCTTTCTTTCTTT